CTGCAAAATGCAATAAAAGTTTTTGTCCCCTCAGTCAACCAACACCCATCATCTTCTTCTTCCTTGTTTTTTCCCTTTTTTTTTTCTCTTCGAAAATTGCCAATTCAACTTACGCTACGCGTAACGAGATAAGGGAGAAGTTTGGGTGTTTTCTGGAGTCATTTTCTCGGAAAATCGGTTTCATCTTGCATTCCTTTACGTTGCATTAATACTCCGTTTGGCCCAATACCCTAAACCAATAGCATAGCAAGGATTTAAGACTAGAAAGGTACTATTATAAATTATAAAAATAAAAATTCTTTTAAGTAAAATAGCTGGTCTACGATCCATGATTTTTTTATTATTAAATAACTAATAAATTACAATTTAAAAATATTTTAAAAATAATAAAAAATAAAAAATCAGTAACGACAAAACGTGAATATAGATTAAAAAAATAATAATAAAAGAGAAAGCGATGTAATTAATTAACTTTATTTTATTTAATGAAATTACTTGAATCCTAGGACCTAACATGTAAAATACTTAAATTTTAAATTAAAATTTTAAAAAATAAAAAAATAATAACAAATAAAATTAAAAGTAGAGGTCGAAGGGGAAAGCGTTTTATAAATTATTAAGGTTAAAGTATTTCTAGAAATAGAATAATTTGTGCAAATGAATTAAATTACAAAATAAAATCTTAGATTTGTATTGTAGAAGACTAAAGTAATAATAAATATAAAATTTAAACCTAAAACTAAAACATTTATTGATAAAGGTCATAAATAATCATAAAATATGTATAAAAAAGACAAAAACATGATTAACATAAATTCACACCAACTTGAATTTAACAATTATTCTTTCTCTCCATCTACCCGAATTAATTAAAAGATTAAAATCTCTTTTCCAAATAAATTAGAAACTAAATATTATAATTAATTAATAATTACATATAGATAAGAAGTTCAAAGTCCAAACAAATTAAAATAAGTAGTAACTTCAAAAGAACCATTCAATGAAAGAAATCGAAAAATTTATTGTCATGAAAGATATTACAATGATAGAGCTTGAGTTTAGGCAATAAATTACAATGTAATCTACAATTAAATGTAAATTTATCTGTTTTACCTAATAATTAACTTATACACTGCAGTTTTTTAGTTTTTTTTTTTAAACAATTTTTACAAGAGACAGGGTCAAACCCCAAACCAAGAGTGGGAAAAGTATACCTAAAGTGACTATTGCCACTTAACCTGAAGGGCTCGTGCCCTGCAGTTTTTTAGTTTGTACCTAAACTTCGAAAAGAATTTAATATTTTAAGGGGGCCAGGGCCCTTCCAAGCTCCCCCAGCCCCAGCCCTACCCCTAAACATTAATCACATGTTGACATGTTGTATGATGAAAAGAACAAAAGTAGGACTCAGTCAAAAGCAATGTGGTCCATAACCAACCGAATTAAAAAAAAAGACCCCAATTTTCCTTGACTTTTCTTAGAACTCTCCAGGAAATATAGAGCCTCCAACGCCCTCATAATTGTTTGCCCTTTGGACGTTGGGGGTTGAATTCCCCGTGGTTAATTAATGCTTCTAACAAACAAAACCTTATTTTTTTAATACATTTAATAATAATAAATTATATAAAAAAAAATTTTTCTTTTCACTTAACTCAAAACTTATATTTAAAATTTTTAATTTAAGATCCCACATTTTTAACCATTAATCCAAAACCTTATTATTTTAATCAGCACCAGCAACAGCTCCGAACAAAGCCTGAAGTAGGAATGGTTTTATGGTTAGCTAACAATGGAGCATTCAAAGTTTTAAATTTTTTTAAAAAAATATTGATTTTATTTAGTTTTATGATTAAAAATAATTAATAATTGTAATAATTAGTTGATAAATAATAAAAAGTAGGAATGGTTTTATGGTTAGCTAACAATGGAGCATTCAAAGTTTTAAATTTTTTTTAAAAAATATTGATTTTATTTAGTTTTATGATGAAAAATAATTAATAATTGTAATAATTAGTTGATAAATAATAAAAAATTTTAATTTGTATTTTTTTATTTTTTATTATAAATATATATAAAAAAAATATAAAAATTGATATTAATTTTAGTGTTGGTATTAAGTGTATGAATTC